CTGGAACGTCCCCGGCCCCAACATCACCACGCCGCCGCCGCCGCCCGCGCCGCGCGCGGAGCGCGCCCGCCCGCTCGCCCCGCCCCCGCTGGCGGCCGCCGGCCCGGCGCCCTGCGCGGCGCGCACCGGGCGCCCGGGCGCTCGGCGGCGGCGCTCGGCGGCGGCGGCGGCGGCGGCGGCGGCGGCTCGACGGCCGCGAGCGGCGGGCGGCGGCGGCGGCTCGGCGGCCGCCCCAGACGGGGTGGCGTCGTGAAAACAATCAGGGCGGGAGGTTTTTCGCTGCTGTCAGCCCCGGGAGGCCCTCGCCGGGCCTCGGGAGCGTGACAAAACGACTCGGGGCGAAAAACGGGTCCCGGGGAAAGGGTCGGGACTTCCCCAGACCCCCGACGTAATGGTTTTTTCATTACTTCGACCCCCAAAGGTCCCGACCCTTTCGCCATGACCGGCTTCTCATCCTGAGTCGTTTTTTGATGCTCCCGAGGCCCGGTGAGGGCCCCAGGAGGCCGAAAATTAGGAAAAACCTCCCGTCATGATTTTTTCATTACTCGAGGGGGTCTGGGTCTGGGGACGCCGTCCTGCAGAAAGCAAGACGTCGCATGTCTGGGGCGGCGGCGGCCACGGCGGCGCCGGGTGGCGCGGGGGCCGTGCGGAAGGCGGCTGTCACGGCCAGAGTGGCGGCGGGGGAGCTTCTCCGTCGGGCGGCCAGACCCGGCGCGCCGATGCCAGGCGAGCCGGTCCTCAAGAGGAGGAGGAGGGGAGGAGGAGGAGGAGGAGGAGGAGGAGGAGGAGGAGGAGGATGGAGGAGGAGAGGAGAGGAGGGAGGAGGGAGGGGAGGAGGGGGAGAGGGGAGGGGGAGGGGGAGGGGGGGGAGGGGGGATGGGGGAGGGCGGCAGGCCTTCGCGGACCTCTGGGGGAGCTGCTGCTCCTGCCGGCGCTGCCCCTTCGAGCGCCTGCTTCTCCGAAAGCCTATAGACCCAGACATGATGGCGTCGTTCGGAAAAAATCAGGGCGGGAGGTTCGTCGCCATCTTCGGCCCCCGGGGGCCCTCGCCGGGCCCCAGGACCGTCAAACAATGACTCGGGATGAAGCACCGGTCCCAGGGAAAGGGTCTGGACTTCTGGGGACGCCGTCCTGTAAAAATCAGGACGTCGCATGTCTGGGCACGCCTGTGCCGCTCCCGTGGCTTGAAGGAGGAGGAGGAGGAGGAGGAGAAGGAGGAGAAGGAGGAGGAGGAGGAGGAGGAGGAGCATCTGGACGTCGCATCTCTGGACACGCCTGTGCCGCTCTCGTGGCTCGAAGGGCGGCGGGGCCCTCGGGGCGCTGAGGGGCCGCGGAGCAGCGGCCCTCCTGGGGCGGAGGAGCCCCCAGCGGGCGCGGCGCCCCAGGGCCGCGGCAGCGCCTCGGACCGGGGGCGGCCTGGAGGAGGCCGACGAGAGCCTCGCGGGCGGAGGTGCGGGTCGTCTGTGCGGGGCGCCGAGTGAGCGAATGAGGAACGCGGGGCGGGATCCTCTGCACCGCTGCTCGGGGTGAAGAAGCTTCGAGCTGAGAACCTGGAGTTCATTCGAGGCGATGTCTTGAACAGTTGCCCAGGTCCAGGTGTACGGAAGCTCTGGGAAGCTCCACGGCAAAAAAGAGCTCCGAGGGAACGCCCAGGGTCCAGTCCAGATTCTTGAGTTTCTTCAAAGCAATCTGAATTCCATGCAACTCGACTCGTTCTCTTAAAATGTCTGACGGGTATACCGGCGGGACGGGATCCTCGGTCACCTATCGGGATGCGGGCGGAGGTGCGGTCATCAACAGGGCGGCACGGGAGAGGCTGGACGAAAGCCTCGGCGGAGGTGCGGTGCGTGCGGTGAGAGGCTCGACGAAAGCCTAGGCTGGAGAGGCGGAGGTGCGGTCAGGAACTTTGGCACGGCGAGTCGCGGCGGCGGCCCCAGAGGCACGCAGCGCCCTGCGAGCGGACAGCGTGTCGCTCCGCTCCACGGATCGGGAGGCGGGGGAAAGCTCGGGACGTTGACGCTCGGGGGCTGGGGCGGTGGATCGCGTGTCGCGCCGCAGCGTGGTGGGCAAGAGCCAGCGGCGCGACGCGGTAAGCCGAGGTGCATGACCGCGCGGGGGGCGCCGCACGGAGGAACTAAGGGGCTGCCCTGGCCACGGGGAGCCGCGGACTCGAGCAGGCCCCCCCAGTCTTGAGATCCGAGGAGCGGCCCGCAGAGGCCCGAGCGTCTCCCGAGCCCAAAGCTGCCCTCCACTCTCCAGCGCCCTCACCGCACGCGGCGAGCGGCAAGCCCGCGCGGCGCCCGGGGGCGGGGCCGGCGGGAGCGAGAGAGCTCGAGGCAGGCCGCCGCGGCGCCCAGGGGCCCCCGAGAGGCAGGGAGGGGAGGAGGCGACGAGCAGCCACGGCGGCGGCGACGGCGACGGCGGCGGCGGCGGCGGCGACGGGCGGCAGCGGCGGCCGCGGCGACGGCGGCGACGGCGCCAGCGACGGCGAGGAGGGGCGGGCCTGCAGGCGCGCGCGCGCGGTGAGCGGCGCCGCCGGCTCGTCGCACCACTCCGCGGCGCCCGGCGGGCCCCGGCCGCCGCTGGAGGACAGGGGCGGCCTCCGGGGGCGCATGCCGCGGGGCGGCAGCAGGCGGCGGCGGCGGCAGCGGCGGCTGCTGGGCAGCGGCAGCGGCGGCAGCGGCGGCAAAGACAGCAGCAGCCAAGGCAGCGGCTGCTGGGCAGCGGCAGCGGCGGCTGCTGGGCAGCAGCAGCAGCAGCAGCAGCAGCAGCAGCAGCAGCAGCAGCAGTGGCGGCGGCTGGCTGGAGGCTGGCGCCGCCGGCGTCGCCCGGGCGGCAAGAGCGAAGGGCGCCAGATTGTGCTGCTGGTCGTCGTCGTCGTCGTCGTCGTCGTCGTCGTCGTCGTCGTCGTCGTCGTCGTCGTCGTCGTCGTCGTCGTCGTCGTCGTCGTCGTCGTCATCGTCAAGGCGGCCAGGCGGCAAGATCGGAGGGCGCCAGCTTGTGCTGCTGGTCGTCGTCCTCTTTTCTGCTGTTCCTTTCTTCTTCGGGATCGGCCGCAGTTCAGTCACCGTGGGCCTAGCCAGCAGGTGGGTTCCTCCTCCTCCTCCGTCTCCCCCTCTTCCTCCTCAGTGTCGTCATTCTCCCCATCTTCCTTCCTCTCCTCCTCGTCGTCCTCCTTCCCTCTGTATCTCTGCCACGTCTTACTGCGAGGTTCGCGTAATTACGTTCACACACACACACACACACGCCACCCGCCACCAGTGGCGTAGTCAGACGACGCGCAAAGCTCCCAGTCCAATGCCATAAGCTCGGCTGCGAATTATGATGCTACTCCTATAAGCGGCTTGCCCATGACAATGAGAGAAGCTGCATTGTTTCCACCAATTAACGGCGCGCGGCGGAAACGCTGTCTAACGAGATACGCCCGGCCACCCCGTCTGCGCTGACCCCCACTAGCGCACTGGCGGCTCCTTGCTTTGTCCATCACGCGCGGTCCCCGGAAGTCCCGACCCTTTCCCGAGGGCCGGCTTTTCATCCGTGGGCGCTCGTTCATGGCCGGTGTCCCGCAGCCCGGCGAGGGCCCCCAGGAGACGAAAATCAGCGAGAAACCTCCCGTCCCAAGGGGGCCCCAGGACGCCGCCAAGGAGCCCCAAGAGACCCCCAAAGAGGCCCACAGGAGGCCCCTAATTAGGAGGCCCCAGAGAGGCCCCCAAGGGGCTTCAGAGAGGCCCCATAAGAGCGCTCGAGGGCCGGCGGCATGGGCGAAGCGATCAAATAAGCAAGAAACCCAGACATGCGGCGTCCTGATTTTTTCAGAACGGCGTCCCTGGAAGTCTGGACCCTTTCCCCGGGGCCGGTTTTTCGTCCTGAGTCGTTTTTTGAGGGTCCCGAGGCCCGGCGAGGGCCCCCAGGGGCTGAAAATAGCGAAAAACCTCCCGTCCTGATTTTTTTACGACGCCATCATGTCTGGGAACCTCCCGCCGTGACTTTCCCCGCTGCGAGCACGTCTCAACACCTGCCGGCTTCTGCCCCGGCCTGCCGCGGGCCGCGCGCGCCGCCGCCGTCCGACCTCCGCCGGCGCCCGCCCCCGGAGGGCGGGGCGCGCCCTCTCGCGAGCGAGGCGCTCCCCCCGGGGAGCGTCCCCGGCCGGAGGTGCCGCCGCGGAGCGCGAGGCGCTGCTGCCGAGGATGTGCTCAGCTCCCCAGACATGATGGCGTCGTAAAAAAATCAGGACGGGAGGTTTTTCGCCATTTTCGGCCCCGGGGGGCCCTCCCCGGGCCTCGGGACCGTCACAAAACGAGTCAGGACGAAGAACCGGCCCCGGGGAAAGGGTCTGGACTTCCAGGGACGCCGTCCTGAAAAAAACAGGACGTCGCATGACTGGGTCTCCAACTGGAGGGGGAGAAAACGGGGGCCGTGCCCAAGAGTGAGGGCGGAAGCAGTGCGTCGAGCTTGGTCGCCGTCGATCTGGTGCAGCCTCAGTGCGGCGCTCCCCCCGGGAGCGTTCGGCCGGACGTGCCGCGGCGGAGCGCGAGGCACTGCTGCCGAGGATGTGCTCAGCTCTCCGACTGGAGGGGGAGAAAACGGGGACTGTGACCAAGAGTGAGCGCGGAAGCAGTGTGTCGAGCTTGGTCACCGTCGATCTGGTGCAGCGTCGATGCGCGGATCATCCTCGCGCATCGGCGACGGCCGACCTGGACCACGACCAAGATCGGCATCGACGAGATACTGCGACATCTTCTTCGTGGTCCCCCCTGTTTCTTCCCTCGGCCAACGCCTCGCCTTTGTTCACAACGTGAGCGATGGCAAGAAACAGGCCTCCCGCACGATGGCATAGCGACCGTGCGTGGTGCTGCCAGCGCGGCACGCTGCACCTGGAAACTGGGGCGACTCCGCGCCACCTGTTGCGGGCAGCTTACGCGCGAATGTCCCCGCGCAATCGAACCTGTTACTCTGAGTCGCTCACGTGGGCCCCACCCGAGAAATCTGGACCATTCCCCTGGGGCGGCTCTGTACTCCGCGCCGTTCCTTGCTTGCCCCGGGGCCCGGGGAAGGCCCCCGGAGGCGGGACAACGGCCAAATCCTTCCGCCACGATCCCGTCGCACCGCGAGGGGGCAGGATGGGTACGCCGACATCCCCGGCTCGGGCGCGCGCCCAAACAAGGCCGGCGCGGTACCCCCCCTTCCATGCGGGTGCCTCGGGGTGCTGCTGGTGCCAGCACGGTGCGCGCCGCCCCCAGGCGTGGCGCTCCTCGCCGGCGCCAGAGACGGTTCTGAGACGAACATGCGCGCCGGCTTGGCAGGCGCAAAAGGCCCTCCTCCTCCTCCTCCTCCCTCCTCCTCCTCCTCCTCCTCCCTCCTCCTCCTCACTCCTCCTCCTCCCCCTCCTCCTCCTCTCCTCCTCATCCTCCTCCTCCTCTCTCCTCCTCCTCCTCCTCCTCCTCCTCCTCCTCCTCCTCCTCCTCCTCCATCTCTTCCCCCCCTCGTAGAGAAAACCCCTCCCTGTCGCAGCCCCAGAGACGTGTCCGTATGTCGGGGCGTTTCGCCCGAGGTCTCCCCGCCACGCAGGGTCCTGGGGCCTGAGATGTGGCACACGCAGACGGGGGGCGTCTTCAAAATGGGGTTTTCGCCAGCGCGCCACGTATCTTCGTACTACAAGTACGCGACAACTCCTAGGATGGCAGGGGGGCCGTTTCAAATGCTGGCCTCGCCGGAGCATCGCGCCCACTCGTGGGACAAGGGACAAGCGTCCCAATGATAAGAAGATGCAGGGGTGGCGCTCTCAAAATGGGACTCCCGCCATTGCGCGGCGCGGAATTCGTCTCAAAAACATCCAACAGCTACGAGGAGGAGGAGGCGGCGGAGGAGGAGGAGGAGGCGGAGGAGGAGGAGGAGGAGGAAAACAAGGAGGAGGCGAAGGAGGAGCACAGCACAGAGGGCGACCCCTTTTCCAAAATGTGGCTCGCGCCCTGGCGCCGTGCGCAGTTGCCTCCAGCGCAAGAAACAGCTTATATATATATATATATAAGAGAGAGAGAGAGAGAGAGAGAGAGAGAGATGGAGAACCGCCGCGAAGCTCCACAGGCTGCCACAACGCGCCCGCTGCCTGTTGAAAGCGCCAGGCAGGACGAACCAACGCAAGAAACAGCTCGGGGGATGGACGGCGTGCGGCGCAAGAAGCAAGAGGCAACACTCGCTTCGCCCAAAGGGGGCGGGCGGCCGCGCGCGACGCCAGGAGGAGGCGCAGGGACGCCACTGATTTCCCAGACCCCCTCGCGCTGTGAAAAAAATCACGACGGGAAGCTTTTCGTCATTTTGGGCCTCTGGGGGCTCTGACCCGGCTTCGGGACCGTCAAACGACTCAGGATGAAAAGCCGGTCACGGGAAAGGGGTCCAGACATCCCTGGGGGTCGACGTTGTGAATTGAAAGAAAACACACGCACACACACACGCACACACACACACACACACACACACACACACACATTCACACGCGACGTTCGGGGTCTCTGTGAATCGCTTGACAAATATGATTGATCGGGCCTTTCCCACCCTGACAGAATCTCTGCAGCAGCGATCCAACTGCGACCACAAACCCGCTTGCCTTCACACATTCCCTGCAAGATCGCCGGCCTTCGGTATTTCTGTTGACCTCTGCGCCGGCCAAGGCTGAGTGGTAGGATCCCATTGAAGTGCAAAACTGTCCGATCTGTGCATGTCATTGGTGGCATATGGTCGTGCCCACTCTCGACAGCACCTGTGCTGCATAGCCATGTACTCGTCGCGCCTCAAGGCTGGAATTTGCTGCATGGCGTAATAAGTAACTCGTCGCCACAAATCGCTCCAAGGTTCGAGGTCACGAGAACTGCCGCTCGAACTGCAAGATGTGATTGATTCCATATCGGAGAGATCCGTGCTGGGCCTATCAATTGATCGTGGCTGTCGCCGTTGCACGATCGACGTCATGGCGCTCGAACAACCATTCGAAACATTAGTCTCTGAGTGCTGCGAAATTGTCACATTAAATATGTGTTTCACTCAATGTTGAAACAGTATTGGAATGTCGAGCTTACCGCATTGCTGATAGCCGCATCAAATCGTGGAAGCAACATGATGTGGACGAGAGCGATTGTTTGGACATGCCAAACCTTCTTCACATCTTACTTACCGTGCGCATCCACCTCGACCTCCACTGGTGCAGGACATGTAAATGTCAAGTAAAGTCAAATCAAGTCAAGGGGGCCTTGCACCAGACGGTGCGCGAGCAGGGTGAAGAAACAAAAAAACAAGAAAAATGCCATCAGCATCTGGCCCACGCCTTCACCGCGCGCCCCCACGCTCGCGCTGCACCGTCCTTTAGGCGGAAGTATGCAGCGAACCATTCGCGGGGGCCTGCGACCTCGAGGCAATTCTTCCACACTAAATGGCTCCAAATTCGCCTCGGTCTGCCCCACTTTCTCGGGCCAGGCGCCTTCCGCAGCTCCAGGGCGCCCAGCTCAAACACCGAGCGCCGCGCAGGATCTAAGCTGGGTCGGCGTGCTAGCTGCCCCGTGAAAATCCTGCGCCGTCTCGCGCGGCGATCGCTGAGCTTCGGCTGCTCGGCCATGGCGAGTACAATAGCGCTCGAGACTCTGCTGATGTATGCTGGGGGTACTCTGCAAAAAATCCTCCTGATGCACCGGTTCTGGAAAATGTCCAGCCTTCGACGTTCCGCTTGGTTAAGGCACGCAGCAAAGAGGGGATACAATAATCTTGGTACCGCGCAGATATGCAATATGTGTATCTTCTGTTGTCTGGAAAGAGAAGTGTGAGACCAAATCGCGCGCACCGTCTTGAAATCTTGCATTGCTGCTCCAAGTCTGCGGCTCAACTCAGAGGCGCACCTCCCGTCGGCGGACAGCGACGTGCCCAAGTAGACGAGGGACTGGATGCTGAGAATGGGCGTGCCAGCGTTGTCCACGCTGTCCCTCTCCGCCCGCACCTTCATTATCTCCAGTTTCTTCAGATTGAAGAGGAGCAGTAATCCGCCCCAAACTTCTCAACGAAGGTCATCAGTTCTTGGACTGCCCGTGCGCGGGCGCCCATCAGCAAGGTGTCGGCCGCGTACACCAGATCACGGACCAACTCCCCTGGAACCTGCCCGCCTCGTCGCTCCCGCAGTTCCTTCTGGGCGTCGTGAAGAAGCGGTGTCGTCACGATCGTGAGCAAGAATGGCGCCAGCGGGCACCCGTGGCACTTGCCGCACGCTTGCATCCTCTCCTGCGACGCGACGCCGAAGTCGTCGACCACGAGCCCGCGGCCTTCATATGTGGCAGCGACCATGTTCACTAACTGGCTTGGGCATCCAAGCCTTCGAAGAAAGTTAGCAAGTGCCTCCTGGGACACGGAGTCGAAGGCTTTCGCCCAGTCCAACGCCAAGAAGACAATCTTGCCATCTCGAGAAGACCACATGTCTTCGAGAACCCGCTGGGCGATGAAGTTCGGATCGGCATCATAATTTTGCATTCCAATCGCACTGCTCCGCGCCAGCGTCCTTCAGGCGATGCAGCAGCACAAGCGCAAACATGTTGTATCCGATCGGCAAGAGACTGATCGGGTGGTCATTGTTGCAGTCCGCAGGGTCGCCCTTCTTGCAAATCATTATCACACTCGCCTTGTGCCAAGCATCGGGGACGCGCCCCGTCTCCCGTAGCATGTTGCAGAAGCCAATGATCTACTAAAGCGTCGGGGTGCCGTTCTCTCACGCTGCTCGCCAGAACTCCGGCGCCGGATGTATGTTGTCCATTCCGCCAGCTCTGCCTTGTTTGACATTACGTGCTACTTTGCTCACTTCTGCGTCTGTGATGGCACCGAAGACGATCAGCAGCTCGTTCTCGTGTAGGGCGTCCGTTGGCATTGCCGTCGTAGGCCTCACGGCCAATTGTACCTTCTCTAAGCGCGCTGCCAGAGTGTCTGCCCTGTTGTCGCTGTCCACGAGCTGGCCAGTACCATTATTGAGCCCACCTTGCTGCGGGCAGAATCCTTTCCGGAGTTTTCTGATCTCGCCCCAGTCACCCCTGGCCGTCAGCCCCTGCAGCCAGGCGGCCCTGTCACATGCGACTGCTGTTCTGATCCCTCTCGCCAACAGCTTCTCTTCTGTCCTGTCCCCCCTCCATCTCGTGATCAGTCCTGTCCCCTGTCCCCCCTCCTGTCCCCCCCTGAAATGCACATGTTCGGCCCAAGACTTCTGAACCCCACTGACACTGAAACGTCGATGGCTAGCCCGCCTGCGTCTGTGTACGCCGGCTGTTTCTTTGGTGTGCGAGGTTGACAAGTGCTAATCATTATCCAAACCGTGCTTGCACCTAGTGGCTCCTCAGACATGCGACGTCCTGATTTTTTCAGGACGGCGCCCCTGGAAGTCCAGACCCTTTCCCCGGGGCCAGTCTTTCATCCTGAATCGTTTTCTGACGGTCCCGAGGCACGGCGAGGGCCCCCAGGGGCCGAAAACAGCGAAACACCTCCCGCCCTGATTCTCCTACGACGCCATCCTGTCTGGGAGTGGCTCTTGTCTCTGCTCTGGAGACCCTGCGCCGGCAGGCCGGGCTGGCGGTCCCGGCCGGGCTGGCCGTCGCCGCCCCCTCGCCGCCTCGTCGCCGCCGATCGCCTGAGGAGGCGGAGGAGGAGGAGGAGGAGGAGGAGGAGGAGGAGGAGGAGGAGGAGGAGGAGGAGAGGAAGAGGGAGGAGGCGGAGGAGGCGGAGGAGGCGGAGGACGAGGAGGAGAGGAGGCGGAGGAGGAGGAAGGAGGACGAGGAGGAGGAGGAGGAGACGAGGTGGAGGAGGACGAGGATGAGGAAGGAGGAGAGGAGGAAGGAGGACAGGAAGGAGGAGGAGGAGGTGGGAGGCGGAGGAGGACGAGGACGAGGACGAGGAGGAGGTGGACCAGGGCCAGTCGCCCGGTCTGGCGGCTCTGCGTCGGCCGTCGCCGCCCCCTCGCCGCCCCGTCGCCGCCCGTCGCCTGGCGGCTCCGTCGCCGTCGCGTCGCCGTCGCGTCGCCGCGTCGTCGCCGCCCCGTCGCCGCCGTTGGGCCTCCCCCCCCTCCTCCTCCTCCTCCCTCCTCCTCCTCCTCCGTCCTCTCTCTCCCTCCTCCTCCTCCCCCTCCTCCTCCCTCCTCCTCCTCCTACCTCCGTCCTCCCGTCCTCTCCTCCTCCGTCCTCCTCCCTCCGCCTCCTCCCTCCTCCTCCCTCCTCCTCCTCCTCCTCCTCCTCCCTCCTCCCCGTCCTCCTCCTCCTCCTCCTCCTCCTCTCCTCCTCCGCCTCCTCCTCCTCCTCCTCCTCCTCCTCCTCCTCCTCGCCCCGCATTTTTTTTTTGGGGGGGAGCCCCCGCGAGCTCGTGGGCGGCGCGCCCGCCCAGGGAAGTTGCTCTGCGGCGAGCACCCGCACGCGAGCGACCGATGCGTTTTGCGCAAACTGAGGCGATACGCGGCGTTCCTTTCTGATCGTGCTTATTTCAAATGGTGCTCGTTTCTGCTTGTTCCTGGCCCCCGAGTGGCCAGGAAGAGGCCCAGGATAGAACAATTAGAAACGAGAGGATCTTGGCCCCCCAGAAGATCAAAAAACCTTCGAATAATTAGAAATGAACAACGTGTAAGGCGATACTCCCATGCACGCACAGCTGAAGAGCGCTCTGGCCGCAGTTGTTAGCTTAAGCATTCTGCAAAGAAGCACCCGCATGCTGCTGCAGCTGGCATGCAACTCTCGCCAACCCAGGCGCAGGGCTTGAAACCAGTAGCTGTGTCGGGATGTCTGGGACGCACTTGCAGGAGAGGAAGGGACGAGCATGAGGCGGAGCGCCCTCTGGACGGCCACCACTGAATTCGCGATCGCACCTCTTGGAACCGCAGGGCGGCCGCGCGACTGGACGGCTCCTTCTCTAGAGCCGAGCCCCCAGCACTGCGGCAAAGAAAAAGGATACAACAGTTCCGTCAAGGGCGGATCTAGCAACACACTGTCGCCAGGCTCATCGGACCCATCGTTCGTGGGGAGGGGATCCTGGCGCCGGGCTCCCGATTGTTTGGTGCTCCAGGTGTGGTAGTTACGCCAGGCATCGAACGAATTTGCTCTCTGAGCCTGACAGGAATCGGCCTCGGAATGAGGCGACTGCGAAGTCTTTGGAGATGCTTCGGCAGGAGGAGGAGGAGGAAGAGGAGGAGGAGGAGGAGGAGGAGGAGGAAAGGGAACCTCGAGGGGGTGGATCCGACCAGTCGCCGGAGTTTCGGACGCAGCGCTCCTCTCTGGACAGAGCGAGGGGCAGCGCTGGGATGCGTCCCCGCGCCCCGCTGAAGCGGACGTGGCCTCGAGTCAGGCCAGTGACCTCGCTGAAGCTTGACAGGGGCGTTGGCTTCCCCGCCTGGGCTCCCACCGAGGGAGGACTTCGGGCCCTTCCGGCGGAAGCCTGGGCGGGGGGCTGCAGCGCACTTGTCTTGTTTCTCTATCGTTCTCTTTCTTCATCTTTTCTGCCCAGGTTCTGCGCCGCCTCTGGCACTGCGGATCCTTGGAATTGGTGAAATTGGTGAAATAAGAGGAGGAGGAGGAGGAGGCGGAGGAGGAGGAGGAGCACAAAGTGGAGGAGAAGGAGGAGGAGGAGGAGGAGGAGGAGGAGGAGAAGGGGAGGAGAAGTGCGAGGAGGGGGGGCAACGAGAAGCGGGAGGAGGAGGAGGAGGAGGAGGAGGAGGAAAGCAGGCAGAGCAGCAGCAGCAGCAGCAGCAGCAGCAGCAGTAGCACCAGCAGAAGCAGGACGACGAGGGAAGGCAAACGACGACGACGAAGGCGGCGGCGGCGACGACGACGACGACGACGACGACGGCGGCGGCGACGGCGACGGCGACGGCGACGACAACGCTGACGGCAACGACGACGACGACGACGACGACGACGACGACGACGACGACGGCGGCGGCGGCGGCGGCGGCGGCGGCGGCGGCGGCGGCGGCGACGACTACGCCCACGGCAGCGGCGACGACCGCGGCGGCGGCCACAGCGACGGCTGCGGCCGCAGCGACCGACGGGCGATCGCGGCGGCCGGCGGCGGCCCGCGCGCGCGCTCGCATGGGGGGAGGCCGTGTCTCCTGGAACGCAGGCGGCCGCGCGCCAGGGCGGCCACGGCCTGGGCACGGCCGCGGCGGGGCCGCCCCGCCGCGGCGGGGGCCGTCTTGCTCCGTTCTTGCTCGTCTGCCTGCGTGTATGCCCTCGCTCCGCCCGGCTGTTCTCCTCCTCCCCCTCCTCCACCTCCTCCTCCTCCTCCTCCTCCACCCTCCTCCTCCTCCTCCTCCTCCTCCTCCTCCTCCTCCTCCCTCCTCCTCCTCCCTCCTCCTCCTCCTCCTCCTCCTCCTCCTCCTCCTCCTCCTCACCCCCTTTTGCACATTATTATGATTTGGTTCTTCTTATCGTCGAAATCTGGCCATGCGTTCTACCATCAGTCGTATGAATAATAAGATTGCCAATCTTAAGTTTGGCAACAGA